ATGTTTATGACTCGTAAAAATCGAAAATACAGCTAAGCGCAATTTTTCATATTCTCAATTAAGGTTTCAATAAAATCTCTAAATGTTTCTCCTTGGTGATCTCTTATTATATGCCGGTAAACATTTTTCACTTTTGAAACATTTTGTATACTGTTGTTAAACGGAACCGTCTCTTAAATAACAGCCGAATTAAAATTTTAATGCAACCAATTCTATTATGCTTCTTAATCTTGGACAAAATGCATAATACTAAATTAATAATAGCTGCTTAATTGTAAGCATTTAAGCATCTAATGTCTACTTAAATGCTGACGTTGTGCATAACACTAAGTAAAGAATTTAAGCATCCATTAGAACCCAACTTTTTTTTTTTTATTTCTACTACATTCATTTTACAGTTTTTCTCTTTCTGTTAATAAGTGTGTTCGAGAATCTTGTTGAGAAAAATTCTCATATTTACAAGAAAATCTCAATTACCAATTCTCATAATCAACAATTCTCGAGTATCTTGAAAAACATTGGGAAAAGTCAGGAATTTAAATCACCTGAGAAATTAGGATTCTACAAATCTGAAGTTATTTTACCAGAAAGATTACAGTTTTATAGACTGTTCGTGTAGGAGTAATTCAATCTTTAAAGTAAAATTTCAGAACAATACAGGAAGATTTCGAAACGAAATCTCAGATTACTACATTTAAATTTAATGCTTCCCTTGAAATGTGTTTTGATTGAGATTCACAGAATGAAGAGTCATGATACAGTAGTTGATCAGTATTTGCTTTGAACAGCAAAATATTTTTATGCATGAGGAAAATGGCATACCTGTTTAGCTGATTTTGGTAAAGCAGAGAACAGACTAGCAAGTAGTAGGAAAGGTGGACTACAGACTTCATCAATGGTTTTACAGGTATAGTCCCATCGGACTTACTGTAAAGCTTCGTCCCAATTTTAAGAAGATGACCCTGGAGGAAAGAGTCTCTCGTCTCTCTTCCCCTACCCTAAAACCTCTCCAAAAGACTTTCTGCCCGCCAGTATTTTAATTCTATCCCCATGCCTCACAGATACTGTACACTTACAGAATTCCATATCTTCTCCGGGATACGAACCTGAGTCTAAGGATATATCTATTCAGCTCCGCTAACTACTTTTCCAATTAGGCGGCTCTGTTAAAGCATGTGAAAGCTATTTGTCTAGGAACCGAAATACCTGTCAACTTTATCGCTTGCCAGAGACCGAGGGGTAAAGTTATTGAATGCGTGCAGTTCGACCTGGGTTCCAATCCCGGGGAATGATACCCGGGAAAACGATGAATGTACTCTTTCGTAGTTACATGAATATAAACCAGTTTAGGTGTAACGTGAATATTAACTAGGTGTAACGTGAATATAAACTAGGTGTAACGTGAATATGAACCAGTTTCTTTTAGAGAAAGTCGCTCACGGAAAATAGCCCCTGCGTTTCTTGCCGTAATCAACAAAATCAATCCAAATGAATGTGTAAGAGATTTCCAAGGGAATTTGGCTACTGTTGTTGTAATGCATGAGGAACCCCGAAATGTCCCCACAGCCAGCCTTTTGAGACCGATCGAACTACCTATGCGCATAAATCAGTGTTATCCACTGGGCCACTGATGATACGAAATAATGTGAATTAATTACTCACTACTGTATAGAACTAAAAGGAAGGAATGAAATTTCGTAGACATATTAATCTTTAAATTACAATTTCTGTGATAGAATTTTCTCCTGACTATGAGGATTTACTGCTATGGTTTGGATGAATCGGAAAATAAATTCCAATTAGGTTGTTTGGTTTGGTTTGTTTTAGTTACGGCAAAGCCTCGAGGGCTATCTGCCTAATGGAAGGGATGCCTTCGTGGAGGACTTTCTAATGGAAACTGGCTTGTATGCACGTTACACATGGGGAAAACCACGAAAACGCCCATGCAGCCAGCCCGTTCGCGGGATTCGAACTTCGGACGAAACTCCCAGTGTTCAGCGACTTTACCGCTCGGCCGCTGCCGTTGGTGGGCAAATTCCAATTAGGAAATACTGGTAAAGGAAATTATTTTTTTATGATACCGACATCTACCAATACGAGGAAAATTTCTCCATTTCTAGAATTTTTGTATATAAAGAAATTGTTTCGCAGGTAAATAAAAAAACTGTCATTGTTAATGAAACTAAAAATCACTTAATTATTTTTAATTGTTTTAGAATCACTAGGGAATTTCCAAAAGAAAATTTTTGGCTATACCTAAATTACTCATTCATGTATTTTCGAAGCATAGTCGTTATTTTTACTACTTAATCGTATCAAAATTGCATGGTAATAATTAGAATTTTTCTTATTTTAAAATCCCGACATCATGTTATTTTATTATTAGGTAAAATTACCGGTGTAAAATTCAAAATCTCAAAACATAATACTTGGTCCGTTGGAAGAATAAACATATCAGCTGTCAAGTGGATATGACAGCTGAACACTGGCTGTTCGTCCAGAGTTTGTTTCTCAGGAAACAGACTGATTACATGGGATTGCAATGATTTTACCCATACGTAAAGCTAAAACAAATTTCGCTTGTATGTTGTCCAATGTGGCGCCTTCAAAATGCATGTAGTTCAATGCTTTGCTATTGCCAGTTAGCCAAACACACCGGTTAACTGTATGGATTTTGTTTTTTCGTCTCTTTTCTAACCGTAACATTTCTGCGAGACAATTCTCCATTTTCATAACCTTTTGAATCAGGTGGCTCCTGAGCGTTTTTCCCTAATGAATTATATACCACAACAAAAAATTTCTTGTAACACTTCTGGAATTTTTCACTTCTTAAATTTTACTGAAATAAATTTTATTATCATCTTTTACCAAGCACGTAATTTTATGATGAAATATTGCAAGTTAGCTCAACTTGGCGACTTGCATTTTAAATGTTTCGAAATTCTACTCTAACTTTCAAAATTTGCAATTTCTTGTCACTTTTAAATTGCCTTGAGGGTTCGGTTATTTATGTTAAATAATTCGAGGAAATATTTTTGTACGAAATACACCAAAAAATATGTATGGCCGTCCAAGGAAGTCATGAGGTGTCCACATCAATTTTTCTTAATTTTATTTATGCTATTTCTTTCGAAAAATATAATGTTCAACTTAAATATACAAATGGAATGTGTCACGTAGATAGTATAATATCCTCCTCTTAAGTGGATAGCTGTCGCGACTTTGCCATAATCAAAGAAACCAAAACAAATCAAGTCTTTGAAAATTTAGTATGTCAGTTTAAAATGTAAAATTAAATAAAATTCAAATTTATATTGATGAGTGTTTATAGGGTAAAAAAACTATAAAATTGAAAGGTCCTTCATGTTTTTAGATATGCATGAAGTTTCTTAAATCCAACGTCAGACTCATGATCTGTTGGTTAGTAAACTCGTTAAGGGAAAGTACGGGAAAGCGACTTGCTAAAGAGAAAGGATACCATAGAAACTTTTCCATGGAAAATTAGCTCCTATTAAATGTTGCACATGGGGGGGGGATTCGAAATGTAAATAAGAAGTATTTATGGTTCTAACGTTACCATCTTCATCAGACATTTTAGCATTTTATTTCATGGAGTGGAAGCGTAACCTCATGCAGATCTTGTTAACTACCGCAACCACCTTGCCGCAGTTTAGCAAATTTTAGGAATAAAAAGAACAATTATTTTTATTGCAAAAAATTATATATATACATATTATTACTTTCATATTCTAAGTTTCAACTATATATTTGTTCAAAAAAATGATCAGTAATCTTGGTTACAAACGGGTTTTCGCTTTCGTTGTGATGGAAATTTCGTTGCAATCGCTTTGAGGAAAAATTGGAATCATTGTTCCTTCAGCGATTTTGAGACAAAATAATGCATTTATGCAGAACATTTCATTTCTCTTTCTTATGTTATAGGAAAATCCTACAACTTTTAAAATCAAGTTTAAGACAAAAAATAGTCATAATTTTTCTATAAAAGCCATTGGAACTTACTTGGAATGCAACAAACGGAACGCATACGAAAATGACGACGTTGCAAAGTGAATATTTCTCGTGTGTATAGTTGTCTGAATAAATGTTATGTTCATGGTTACCAGAGTTTGTTGTATTCTGAAGCTTTGACGATTTCTACTAGCTTGCTTGCGATAATACGTAAGTACACAAATCTTTTTATTTAAAAAGTCCCGTAGTAGTTTTACTAATATAAACACCTCAGGTACCTTAATATTTGATATATCTGTTCTCAATGGGAACAGTCCAGTATTACAGATCCATAAATAAAATTTTATAAAATACGTTTTAAACGTACCAGATATTCGTACGTATGATTCATAATTATCTTGGGTATCTGGTGCAATCGGATTTTATGAATCATTAATATATCTTTATAAAACATTTTTCAATAAGTAATGAATTTGTACTAGAAATCGTGTGTATTTTCAGTTATAAAGCAACATGCACCACACAGTTTTCCTTAGAAAGATATGAATGCCAATTTAACGTTTCCGGCGAGAAAATTCCTTTTCGGTCATCATTTATTTCGAAGGTTTTTAAATATAATAAATGTATATCTCATTTTAGTAACGGAACGAAATAGAGTTATTTTAAAAGATTAGAACTATGCATTCAGTTTAATAGTGGCCAAAAAGCAAAGTTGGCTCATGTGTCTTTTTGAAGAAAACCGATTGGCGCGTATAGGTCTAGAATTGAAAAGATCCCAAATTATTACTGGCTGAATATAAAATATACGTATTATGTTCATGGAAAAGAAGGTACCGAGACATAGTTATGTAAGGGAGATCGGCAAGTAAATGAACAGAGGGAGTGAACGTTAGATTTTGGTCCTTGAAACTCTTGGCATATCACCTAAGAACTTGAGATTGATAATCAAAGTGTTTAAGCAATATTAAAAATTACTCAAAACAATTTCTAGATTATAGGAGCAATTAGATTTTTCAGATGATAAAAATAAGCTTTAGAAATGTAAGCAAGCATCAAATCCTTTGATTTTATTACCCATGAAAAAATTAGTATGTTTAAAACGCTCGACAAAAAATTTAAATTATATAGTCAGCATTATAGCTAAAAACAGTTTTATTACAAAGACCTTGAAATGCACAGATAAGTTACAATAAGATCTCACTTTCTAGTAGATAAAATTCCATTAAATCTTAAATTCATTCAAACTTTAACAAATATTAAGGTTTTTCTCTTTTAAATCTGCAAACAGAATTTTTTCATATAAATATTACATACTAATACCATACTAACGTCCCAGAACTAATTTCGTGTTAACAAATACCTTAGTTCTAACACAGAGCAAAATTTTTGTTCATATGAAAGTTTTAAAATTTTATTAAGAATAGCCAATAAGCTACGGTCAATAAAACAATTAACACTTATAAAATTTAACAATGACAAACGTATAGTTACACATTTCCAAAAATTGTGCAGTCATGCAAATAAAAATAAATTATTTTTCATAAAATGTTTGCAACAGACCTACTCAGTTTCTTCCATTTTTCGTGCACGTTTTGAGAAGATGTGAATTCTTCATAATCAAGAAAACCATCATTATTTTTATCATCGTTCTCCAATCTAAGGTCTATCAGATCAGCAAGCTCATTATCACTGTAGATATGTTCTTGTTTTAAGACGTAGGTTTCATCATCTTCGTAAGCAGTATCGTCATCATCTTCTTCATGCCAATGAAGAAAAGATTTAACCAGCTCACAACCATCAAGCTTGTTGTTTTTGTCATAATCGTGCATCTTAAAATAAAGGAATATCAGTTCTTCTTCAGCAATTTCCTCTATTACAGAGGTATTTACGACACTAACGAAATCTTTTTGAAGATGATTTCTTATTTCGAAATCCTGTTCGGTAGCTAAAATGCTTATCTCATGCCAGTGATATGGAACTGAAACAATAAGTTCTTGATCAGCAAATTCTAGAAATAAAACACAAAATACAACTGCTACTAAGGCGACAGTTTTACTCATTTTAAAATCAGCTGTATAATACTGCCAAGTGCAAGGTACACTTATTTGCTGCAAGAGTAACGTAAGCAGAAAATTTAAAGTAGTTGCATAAAAGATACTAGAACGTCTCTTAAGCTGCTACAAGTGAAATATAGTGGTTGAATGACATTCAGTTTCTACTGATTGCAGAAGAAATCAAAGCCAACGGCAGACGAAATCAAGCCAAATTTGGCAACGACGTCTAGAGATAGTGAGTTTTGACGGGAGAAGATTTTAAATATTAAAATAATATACTTACTTTAAATGTTTAAAAAAAAGCGGAGGTTGGAGGGATCCAAAAGTGGCACTTTCCTAAAACTCAGTTTTTACGGTGGAAGAAACCAGCCAAACAGTTAAATATGTGGGATTAAAACGCTGTGCACAGTAGGCGCTAACTAAAAAGAGACTACATTTGCAAGAAAATTTTCTGCATTTCCAAAACTGAAATAGCTTCTGAATGTGCAGGCTAAATTCCCTATAAAATTTATAGCAGCGTTTTTAATTTCAAATTAAGTATTGTCAATGGAAAGGTTTAATGTATGACATTCTATTTCTTTCTTTGTTTACTGAAATAATCAATCAAAAAGATACCTTTTTATGCTTACATAATTTTTAGCATAGTCGAAATAAACTAATGATGAAAGTACCATTTCTCACCGGAAGTATAAAATTAGCTCATACAAAAAACTTCCGTAAAGGAAAGGGATCGAAATATAGCATTTTTGTACCACGCTTTGTTCTTTTAAATTCTTTTTTCAGATTACCTTCCGGTCAAATTCTGAGAAGTAAAAAATTCATTTCAATTAATCAGTTGCCCATTTACTGGGGAGAAAACAATGCAACTTCCAAACATAATCTTGTAGTGTTTGGATTGGTGGTATTTAAGATGATACATAATGATTTTTCGGTACTTTTCCGTTTCGCCGGCGCAAATCTCGCCAAGCAGACTTTATTGGCGACAACATACATTATGCACACAAAAAATATTAAAAAAATGTTAGTCCTAAGAATTCTTTTTTTGAAGGCATAAACATTTTAATATCGCTTAAAATTTTATAAAAAGCCAATAAATAAAGACAATAAATTTATAAAAAGACATTAATTTAAGAATTTACTATGCTTTCATGGTTCAACATCCTGTTTCGCCGGTTCATATCACGTGACCCCAAGCGATCTCATCTCACGTATACTACTCTACAAAAATATAATGCTCTCAGTAATTATCAACATTAATTTCAAGTTAAATCTTAATTTAGAACACAAGTTTAAATGCAAGAAATACTTCAATTCGTACGAATAACTTACTCAGAAATTATGTAAAACTGCAGTGCTTTACTTCGCTAATGCATTCTCATTAGAATTTGATGAATTTAACCCTTGACTTTACCTTTTCTATATTTTCGGCTTCGGGTAAGCGCTGTGATTGCATCCTAATTGATTTAATTGCCGAAAATGGCCTTAGACATAAAACTGAACTATCTGAATGAGGCGTTAAAGGTTACCAGCGAGAATATTCCGTTTGGCATCGGTTGTACCATTATTGGCGATTTTATCGCTTGCGCCGGCAAAACGGAAAAGTACCGATTTTTCTTACGTAGATGCAAATATAATCAGTGAACGATTATCATACATTGGCACGATAATATTCTTGTTTACCCGATAAATCTGTCAATTATTCAACCACCGAGTTTTAGAAAATAAGTTAATGGATATTCAAATCCTGTAGCTGCGTTTTAAAAATCAAATTTAATACTAACGCAAAATCAAACTGTTGTGAGGGATAATGTTGTAACAAAGAAATACAAATCCTTTCGAATGAATCTTAAATTTGAAATAATTCGCTTTCTCAAGCTCATTTCAGAGGCAATTGATACATTTTGGGAAAAAATTTCGTTTTCAATTTCTAATCCAGGACCACCATTTTAAAAGTTTAAAGCCTCGAATTTCTGGTAGATTAGTTCTACTGCTAATAATAGAGGGGGAGGGACATCTACTACATGACGTTTTCTTGATTTTCCTTTTTTAACCTATTGCGAACGGCTGTTGACGGTTTCAGACAAACCGTCCATATAGTACATAAACAAAACTTCACCTTCTCGAAAGAGTAAAGAGCCCAATAACTGCCGAGTGGATAAAATCGCCGAACACCAGTATTTCGACTCGGATTTAAAACTCTGCGAACGAGTTGCCTGTGTATGTGAAAGTTTACGTCTTAGTTTTATGTGTAAAAAAAAATTGCCAGCTATACCAATTTTCCTAAGAAAGACCTCCACGCTTCTATCACGTAAATAGCCCTTATGTGTGTTATACGAGTGTCAAACAATTAAATCCTAATTTTAACGTAAATACAGGCAATTTTCCTTTAGAAAGTTCTTAATAAAAAGAACATCGTTTGCAATAGTTAGCCCTAATGTTTTTTGCTACAACTCAGTAATCCCTTCACATTTCTAAAGTGAGCGATTGCGTAATTTTTATCGAATTAAAATTTCCTCATTTAGCACAGAACAATAAAACTTAATTCAGCCTGTACAATAAGTTGCGGCATTTCTATATTCAGTGAATTTAGAAAGTAACAGTAGAAAATATTAGATAACTGAAGCAAAATTATAACTCAAATTTCCTCTTAAGTGAATTTATTTTCCTCTGTCTACCTTTTGCTTAGGACAAAACTTCACATGAATAACATACATATTGTAGCACTTCTTAAATTCGTGTATTATTGTAAATCAATAATCGGTTTTCTGAAACCATAACTTAAATAAAACGACTCTGAATATTCAATATTTCTGTAATTCTTTTCTTTATCAAAGTTTAAGTGATCAGTTTACTTTCACTTCTCTTCATGCACTGTCTTGTGACAAAATTTGGGAGATTTATACTATTTCAAGGCCAGCTTGCCAAAGTACACTTACTGTCTGCCTAAATGTTTCAAGATTCTATTGGAAACTGAAACTTCCAACGCATCTATACGGTTCCAAGCAGCTATTAAGCAGCAACAATTCTTACACAACTTCGTTGTTCTTTCGAAATGAGCTAACTTTGCGATTACTTTCAAATCAAGAAATAATTAAATGTTTGTAATGCTTTTCTAAATGTAATATTCATTGCATGACTTCGCTTCAATTACAGTTCTTAGTTCTAATTCATGAATTAGATTTTCGTATGCTTTTATTTATCATATCAACTAGATCGGCTAAAAATCACAAAATAAGCGTAATTTATTTAGATATTTAGCCGATATGAAGTTTTACTTCGTTATTTCTTCTGACAAGATGAAAACTTTACACATGGGATACGTTTCCATTGAAGCCATATCACGCATTTTAAGTGCCATATAGGGGCATTTTGGCTTATTTTTTCTCTACTCCTTTGGCTCGATATTGCATGAAACAGAGCTGATGGAAAACAATATTAGCGTTAGAAATTAGAAACTTTTTTTTTCTCTAAATCTCATTTTGGGGAGAGAACACGACCTACATTTCGCCCCTTTTTATGAATAACTTTTTATCAACCTCCGTAATTTTGTTGCGTTAATTGATTTTAATATTACGATGAGATAACAAGAAATTAGCACATATCTTTGTTATATAGTTATTCCAATCGAAGTTGCGTTGTAGTTCATCTAAAACAAACTCGGTTTCGCCGAATTCAATAAACGTTCATTCCTGACACACTCAGTAAATGATTCGTAAGGCGATAATAAAATACTGGGTCCAGCAATCCAAATTTGTGCTCAGACATCTTTTTCTTCCTGGCATAAATATAAATGAAGAAATCTCTATTGTATAACCTTAATGGTAAAGTTTTCAAAGGTGTATAACGTTCAATTTTTAACTTATATGGTGAAAGTTTAGTACATAATTAATTTGACTGAATCTCACAGGCTCTCACATTAAAATAAATTTTTCTCTGAAATTTATATATATTTAAACACACAGAAAATAGTCATTCATGACACAGATTGATAATTAAAATTTTATTTTGAGATAAACAGTGTATATTTTCACTGGAACTTTATATTTTTATAATATAATTATGAATTTAAGACAAATATGAGATAAAGACCAAATTTTTAGCAATAGTATACTTGTTTTTTAATTTCGAGCGAAACCAAAACTTACATGATAATAAAGTAAATAAGTAAACTAAAGTTTAATCGGGTGTAATGTAAAAGCTGTATTATAAATTGAAGATTAACATAATACATACTGTATTTTATCTTTTAACTATGTATTTGCGAAATGCAGCTTCGTGATCAACTTTGGTTTCTCTTTTCCAACTATGGAATAAATGTTTCATAGTTGGAAAAGTACTGTTGTAAAGGTACTGTTCTATTATCAGGATCGGATCCAGAAATGTATGCATGTATATATGTAAGCACGAATGTATGGGTGTGTATACACATATATGCACATATATTCATACACACGAACATACATTCATACATTTCTGAATCTGGTTCCGATAACAGAGCAGTACCAAAAAAGAAATAACATCGATATATCAAAATATAAAATTCTTGATACACAAATAATTAAAACTTGTTCTCAATAATATTAAAAATATAGATATCTGATGATTACGCCAAAATTGCAAGCGAGCATACAGCTTGGAAACTAATAAGGAAATCATCAAATCAGTTAAATGTTATGAAAATGCAATGAAACGTTCAAAATGAAAACGAAATTATGATTACCTTAAAAACACTTACTTTATTTACATAATAGCAGGTGGTTTACAATACATTTAGCTCACAAACAGCTAAATCATTCATCCGAAATTTTAAATTTTTAAAAATTCACCTTAATGAACTTCACTTTTAAACACATAAACAGAATTTCTTCATGCAAGTCGGAAATTATAAACGCTTTGATAAATATACTACATGGTTTCAGTTCAGCGTTTAAATCATGACCAAATTTTTAAAAGTTTAAAAATACATAAAAAGTCTTAGGCTCATAAATAGAACACACAGACAGAAGGCAGACAGAATATTAAAAACACGTACAGCATTTAAACGCGCAAATAGAAGCTAGTTACTTTGCGCAAGCTAAAATCGCAAGTAATTTTAAGAATAAATTAATAGTAATTTTAAGCATTATAATTCTACTTCAAAGACTAGCTTTCTTTATCCATGCGTCGATTTTCATGCGCTCGTAAACAGGTTTAAAACAAATTAGTATAGCCAATAGGCTCAGGTCAATTAAAAACAATTAACAGTCGCAAAATATAACATATAGAAACATAGGTGCTGAAAACGATTGTATGAACACATAAACTATTTTCTCACACAAGTGGATTCCGTCATTTTACCTCATTGTTGGAAGGCTTACTGAGAAGCTACAAATTCTTGATAATCAATAAAACCATCATTATTTTTATCAACCATTTCCAAAATATTGTCAATAATTTCAGCAAGCTGAATGTTATCGTAGATAGGTTCGTCATTTATGACATTTTCTTCATCGTCGTCATCTTCATGTGGATGAAGAAGACCTTTAATCAGCTCACAACCATCAAGTTTGTTGTTATTGTCGTAATCATGATTCTTGAAGTAAAGAAATCGGAGTTGCTCTTCAGCAAGATTATTTATCTCAGCAGTATTTATAACACCATCGAAATCTCGATGAAGGTGATGTTTATTTTCGAAATTATAATCCAAATCAGGAGAAATTGATTTACGCAAGTGATGTGGACTTCCAGAAACGAATTCTTGACGAATAAATCCAAGAAATAAAATAAAAAGCAGAATAGCGGCCAATGAGATGCTGGAGTTCATCGTAAAATACAACTTGTAAAACCGTATATTAAAAGAAACTTAAAATTGCCGCAACAACTGTACAAAACGGATAGATCTGAAAAGCTTCTTCTCTAGCTACATAAGAGGTATTATGACGTCAACACTTTAATGGAAACCGTAGTGTCTATGGATTTTGTTATCATGATTCGATTATTTAAATTATGCAAATATCTTTAGAATAATCTTACAAATGAGTAAAAAATACAAATTTAATTAATACTATGCGTAAAAAATAATTTATATCAACTGGGCAGAATAAATTTGCAAATAATTTTGAAATCTGAATTAACAGATTTTAAATATATATTTTATAAAAATAGCAATTATTTTATTATTAATTTTATTATTATTGAAATAATTGGGGGTTATCACAATGTGATATTGTACGAAAATAATCATTGCTAATTTGATGGAAGATATATTTAACATAAAATCTTAATTGGTTTCCGACAGATCATATGTATGAAGGAAAAACAAATTATACATATTTTTATAAAAATGTGATCAAAAAAGGACTATACCATAATTTATCATCCGTGGATAAGAGCCATTTCCCTTAGAAATCCCCCCATAAAGGCATCCCTTCCCTCAAGCAGACAGCCGACGAGGGCTTTACCATTATTAAATACTACAAACATAATTTATAATCCATTACGTTCTTTGCTCGATTAAGTTCTTAAGCAAAGTTCTCTTGAACTGGCAACATTTTTGTAGGGAACGTCCAAACAGAAACTAGCTCGTACTTACGTTACTTAAAACACAAAAACTCCCAAGGGTTTTTTTAAAGAAAAGTAATAAGAATTGCAAGAGAAACAGAAAAGAAGGAACATAACATAAGATGTGAAACAAAATTAAAAAAATGTAAATTTTTGGTATTATGTTTAGAAGATAATTTTCTACACACATATTTTTTTTTCATCAATATTTAGTTTTGCATCAGTTAATACTGAAACAAAAAAAAAAAAAAAAAAACTCAAGTGTTTAGATTTTAACTACTGCCCAAAAGGATTTGTTAATTTTTTTACGCTCTCGCTGAGCTCGCAGTCTGTCAGTCTGCTGTTGCACTCTTGCTAACCCATTTCTTTTTGTCTTTATTATTAAGCAATATTTTCTTTGCACTTACGCCATATATAGTTCAACAGCAATATCACAAAAATTTTAAATATGTTTAGTGCCCACCAGCGGCCGAGTGGTAAAGTCGCTGAACACTGGTAGTTCGGTCCGAGGTTCGAATCCCGCGAACGGGCTGGCTGTATGGGCGTTTTCGTGGTTTTCCCCATGTGTAACGTGTGTACGAGCCAGTTTCCCTTAGAAAGTCCTCCACGAAGGCATCACTTCCCTTAGGCAGATAGCCCTCGAGGCTTTGCCATAATCACACACACACATATGTTTAGAATTCCCATGCAGTGTTAAGTGTTGGCATAAAAGCCTTTTTGTCTTCTCAGTCTTTTCTCAATTTATTCTATCGATGTTCGGTTTTCTTTGTATGCAAAACTTTTCTTCTTTATTAGCCCATAAGGGACGTTAGTCCTGAATGGGATATTGGTTTCGAAACGGCATTTTGGTTGAGTTACTGTAAACGGCGCATCACTTTTCCAATTGTTGCCCCAAAATAGTATTATCGCCCTGTATTAGTATATTTAAAGAAATTAAATAATGAAGAGTTTGCATGAATGTATGCATGTTTCTTGCATTGCGAAAAAGCAACCGTACCTAGAGGCATCCAATTTTGAATAATGTAGTCCTCCCCTTAAACATGGGCATCTGGAAGCTCCAATTTGGAATTTGGAATTTGTTTTATTAACTGTTTCATATTTTGTAAAACTTTAATGAATTTTTGATTAACAAACTCAACGGTTTCAAAGCAAGCGTTGGCAACACTGTACGAAAAATAAAGAACATTTTGATCTCCGTATTCCAAGTATCTTTACATACTTTTATTTACATATTTATAAATTTAGATATCAAAATATGCATTTTATTTTTCAATTTTAATAAGAAAATAATTTAGATAGATTATAAAAGCGATATTAAACAATTTGTTTTATAGGATATTTTAAAGATTCAAAGGCCTATCTCAAACATGCTGTTACGGTATAGCGCTTAACTCACACAATTAGCCCTAGAATTTAACTTCCAGTGTAAGCGCAAGAGGTTTTTGAGATTTTTTGTTATTAAAAAAAAAGAGAGAGAGAGAGAAAGGAATCCTAATTTCACTGCATTACTGTGACATTATTAAATGCCGTATAAGTATTTTCTCCGTCTTTTTTTCGCATGCCTTTGTGGTGTAACTGGAAGCAAAAGTGACGGGTATTCGGGATGTGCCGAGTTCAAATCTCCTCTATGGCACTGCGGATTCCTTCAGTTAACTGACTTCGAAAAATTCTAAAGAGTATACAAGTGGCGCGCCCGAAGTAAAAGGTGGTGGACGACAGTTTATCACTATCATAATTTGGCGATTGGGTCTCTAAATCTTCAGTTGCCCTTTAAAAGAGGAAGTATATAAGGTATTTTCTCCTTCATTTTCATTTGCCTTCATGGTGTAACTGGAAGCACGCTCGAAGCGGCTTCGAGAGTTCCGGAGTTCGAATCCCAGCGAGGGCATAACGCATTTTTCCCACTCCTGCATCGATAAAATCAAATGACTGTATAGAGTTATTTTTCGAAAGGATTTAAGCTATATTAATATAACTTAAAAATCATTTTGATTACTATTAGTGTCAATTTGTAGAGACATTAGGTATTTTTTAGAAGCGGAAAAGATAAAAAAATATGCAACGCCTTCGCCGGAAATAGAACCGCGGACCTCTGGAATACGCGCCCAGCGTGCTGACCACCCCACCACGAAGGCATGCCAAGAAGGCGGGAGAAATACCTTATAAATTCACTATAACGGCAATTTGCGTTTTCTAAATTTCGTTTCTTTTCATTTCTTTAAATATATGAAAAAAATATACAAATAGATGAGAAACAAGACTTATTTTGTAAACAAGACTTATTTTTCCAGAGAAAAAATATTGTTTATAATACCCGAGAAATTTCATAACAATAGCAGCTTTCGAAGAATTTGTTGAAAATACGTAGGTTCCAATTGTGAATAGTAATTCTTTTTATTTTCTACAGAATAACAGATGTGCTGTTCGTTTTTCAGTATAAAAAATGGTATTTTTCCCGATGGGGAAAAAAATTCAGCCAGACTATGTATTGTAAAATATGATATCTATTCCCCCATCATGTCTTTCAGGAAGTTAAATAATAGAATATTTATTAGTTTGCTTCGACGTGAGAAGTATCACGCATCCTGTTTCCTGCGATCAAACGAATGTTCCCCAATGACTGCTTCGTTGTCGGAATATCCACAGTTGTGTTTCGAACAGGATGCTGGAGTAACGTGCAAATTTCTCGTGTTTGTATATATAAAAATACTGTGAACATGAAACGTAAAAAAACATCATTGTCCCTTCTCTTCAGAAAAGATTATTCTTACGGTGCTTTAGCGTAAAAAATTGTAGCTATACTTTTAATTATAATTATTTTGTCTGTTAAAAGACTGCGACTGACTTCTGCACTGTTAACTACAACTGCACCGAATGATGCCATTTGATAAAAGAATGTATGTAAACAAAGACACAATTTCTTTCCGAAGCTAAACAAGTGTTCGAGAAGTATTTATTTCTTTTTAAAATGCGGAAGCTCATCTAAATAGATAACATTGTTACCCTGGAAGAAAGTAAATCAAAGAATTAAGGTAAGTATCAAATTATTGTCTTTGTCAGTTAAAATTTCTTTTATTCTGGATGCAAAAGTTTTGTGACCTGTGATAATCTTGATCATGAGTAATTTTGATTCGTATTCTCTAGATATTATTTTTTTTTTTTTATTTTCTTTGGCTTTGTCCAAGGCTATGCATAAGGATTGTAATAAAATTACTAAAATATATAAGAAAACAGATTATTGCAGACACAACTAAATATATAAATAGTGAAAATCACATTATGTGAGTCTCGTGGTTAACTAGACATCATCCGAAGCTTCTTAAAGCTCTAGTTAGTTAAGTTTCTAGAGCACTAGTTAATGAAGCAGAAAGATTCGGTTTCTGTAGCCAACTCCGATATCTTCATAATATTAAACGAACAAAAATTTCGTTTAAAATATTGTTTTGTATTTTCAAATTCTAAATCGTGGAAATAAGAAAACTGCTAAATTAAATAAGAGGTCAGAATGTGACATACGGAACTAATTACACAAGCAGTCAAAATAACACTATATGAGATGGTCCCAACTAGACGTCATCCGAAGCTTCTTAACGCTCTGGTTACTTCAGTCTTTAGAGCACCAGTTAATAACGCAGTAAGATTAGGGCTCCGTAGCCGAATCTGAGTTCTTTATAACATTAAACGAATAAAAATTTCATTTTCAAACTTGTTTTGTCTTTTCAGATTCTAAATCTTGGAAACGTAATGAATGTACAAAATTTATAAATCATTTATATATTGGTATCTATACTTTGATCCCTAGACAACTAAGCCTAAAATATTTTATTTATTGTGTTGTGACTTTATAAGGTATTTTACCGGCCTTTTTAGCATGCTTTCGTAGTGTAGCGGTCAGCACGCTCTGCGCGTATTCGAGAAGCCCCTGGTTCGAGTCCCCGCGAATTATTATCTCTCTTGCTTCGAAATAATCCTAATGTCTCTACAGCTTGTTTGAAATCAATATCAGAATAAGTTCTCGAATTTTATAGTGGCGACTGCAAAAATGAATGCTCCGCTGGCATGGTTCTTGCGTGCCTTGCAAATGGCAACAGCACGATTTTATCTAGCTCCTTCCCAATTTCGAAGGAAAAACCAGCCGGGAAAACAGATCTAATAGTTTCTCATCCTTCTGTTCCACTAGAGAAAACTTTAGACTCACTTTGTATTTTAAGTGTAGACATTATACACTTACCTCAAAGACATTATACACTTACATTCAAGCCTTTGCCGGAACTCGAACCCGGAAACAAAAACAGCCAGTATCGTTAAGCTCTATAACCAATCAAAATGTGTTATAAATTCAGAGAGATAAATGTCTTTGTAATAATAAGAACTAAATGTATCTAGAGGATTTCGTGCTTTTAAAATACACTGTAATACCCAAGCGTTTTACATCAAACATCAACATCTATTAAATATCTGGAAAAAAATTTAGTTTTTTTTCCAGTTTATTTGAAGTTGAAAAAAGAATTTAGTCGAAAAAAAATTACAATTTTTTTTAAATACTTTATTGGACTTTATTGCAAATATACATTTTCTTATGAACGTTTAATGAATTTTATCACCCTTATGTTTTATTCCTTCTTTCAATTCTGAGTAATAAAACGAGGAACGTGTGATTTAAAAGCTTGTAAACTCTTGTAGTAGTACTAGGCAGTAGAATCAAGCAAGCTGACTTTGGAGCAATGTTTTATGCCTGAAACTTTGATATGTGCAAATATATTTAAAAAGACATCAAAATATAAAATGTAAAACTACTTAAGCATTAAGTTTTAAAAGACTTCAGTTAGAAGTAAATATTTCACAGGTGTCTCTCTTTGTTCATTACAATATTGCTTATTGTAATCTGAACAAAAATCTTGATTTCGTTATTTTAAATTCAAAATCATTTTTAAAATTCTTCATTAAATTTTGAGCTTTAGTTACAGAAAAAAATAATTTAGTGCACAGCTAATACCATTAAAGTTTAAAACTTTCCTACATTATAAGGTATTTTTTCAGCCTTCTTAACGTGCCTTCCTGGTGTGGTGGTATTGCACGCTGGGCGCGTATCCGGAGTTCCGCGGTTCGATTCCCGGCGAAGGCGTTGCTAATTCTTCCCTTCTCTTGCTTCAAAATTGCTAATATCTCTGCAGTGGCGCCCGAACTAAAAGGATGGTTGATGATAATTCTCCGCACCCAGGATTTGGTGACTGTGTTCCCTAAAAACTCCAGTTGCCCTTTAAAACGGAGGAAGTATATAAGCTATTTCTCCCGCTTTCTTAGCGTGCCTTGGTGTGGTGATCTGCACGCTGGGCGCATATTCCAGAGGTTCGTGGTTCGATTCCCGGCGAAGGCGTTGCTCATTTTTCAATCTCTCTTGCTTCCAAAATAACCTAATAACTCTAGAACATAATTCGAGTATACTTCTGCTAAAAAAGTTCAGAAGAAGGAAAACTAGTCAACAGCTTATAATAATAGTTTCGTAAACCTTATTTTTCCCCTCTTATATAGTTTTCAAAACTTCCACTTATTGTCCTTCGACGTTAAAATACTAGGAAAGTATGCTTAACAAAGATAAGACAATAAAGCCTCGGTTATCGAAGCAAATAATAAATTTATACTTAGTTCAGAGAGATTTCCAGACAAAATCATCATTTTCAACTATTTAACTTACAGTGATAAAGCAAATGAACAGTTATCTTTGTAGGCAGCATGTCTTCAAGAAGAGCTATCTAGAAAAACCTACCTGGTATTTACATAATTATTTATAAGTAGCACGTAGGCCGTGAAGATGGACAATACATTAGACATAAAGGATGAGTTAGTAAAGAATGTTACATGAAATCATTGATCGTGTCCATAGATCATCGTTCATCATCCTCTTCAATTCAACTTGTTTAAATAAAGCAGTTATAATCGATCGATTATTCACTAACTTTTAACTAAGAAACTATATTTAATCGCACTTTATATATTTATACTATATTTAATCGCATTTGGTTGTTATATATTTATATAACTACCAAATGCGATTTCTACAAGTTTTCAGATCAAACGGAAAAACAGTTTTGTTGGCTAAAGTTTCCTAAATTATGTGGACATTAGTACTTTTCTTACTATGTCAAAAAACTGTGTAAAAAGCATCTCATTTGTATTTTTTATAATATTTAAAAAATTATTGCAGGAACTTGTGAAATTTGCATTAAATTTCGTTGCGTAGTTATTGTGTGCAGTAACTTGAGTTGTTTTAAATTAGTTGAAAAATATTATATATTCGTCTACATTTTTTTCGCTTTTGTAAAAGATTCTTGTTATTCTTAACTTTCTCAGCATTTCTAATGCCCCCCCCCAGCTTACGTACTTGGAACATCACCGCAATGCTTTTAAAAAAAATTTCACCTTTTCATCTCTTACACAAGGTATCCAGAATACCTTAAGAGAAGGGATGGGAGTGAAAACCAGAATGATTGGCTGTAACGCCTTCTATTAACAATGAAGAGAGGTAAGAGATTTTTTCACAAATGCACATCCGGTACATGAAAGCGCGATAGGTGGTACATAAAACGCCTGATACCTACTCCCCCCCTACAACACCTGCCTTGTTAGATGAAAGCCTCTAGAAGTTAGCGGCCAGAGGTCAGGACTTTCCACAAACAAGTAACCTATCTGGAAATTAATCGCTGACGCACGCTATGGAGAACGTGACATTAAATGTCAGATAGAGCTTTCGGAACTCGCCAGCCTTGGAGACGTCATTTAAATTCTAGGCATAGTTACAGTACGGCGCGGCTCTCATGCTCAGCGATGAGATTTTTAAACACAGAATTTTTTAGATTCGGTGGGTGTTGTTACCTCTGGATTTAACACCTGGATTTTGCAAGCAAGGTACAGTAAATTTGAATATTTCCAGTCTTTTTTAATGTATTCGTTGTGTATCAGTGGAGATTTTAATATAAGTTTTCGCATAACTCACGTTAGTAACTTAAATATTATCTTTCTTACGCTGTTAGTTTTCAGCTCTCTGCGTTCTTCAAAAATAGCGTATATTCAAAATGTTCGTATAAAATCATTTATAATCATTGCATAAAATATTTTCCGATGTTTCTGTATATTTTAGTAATATCTAAGAAACTATATTAGGCAGCACTTAATATAGCGTAAATTATTTGTAGACATCGTGCAGAACTATGATATTGTTTAGAGAAAAATGACAAACAGAATTGTACGTTATCTGTATATTCCTAACAGAAACAGTTAACATAGACCTAACAATGCAGACTGCGATACTCTCCCTACCCCACTACCATTATACAGCTCATAAATTTTATAAACATTTGCAACGATATGGTTTTTTTAAAGACAGATCTTCTAAATATATGTCAGAACTGGATATTTTCAAAACCTGTGTACACTCGTGTGCAAAATTTAGAGAATTTGCACATCGTGTCGAATTTTTGAAAGACTGATGGACATGTTGTAATGTTATGAATAAACATTTATAACAGAGAAAGAAACGTACCATGCAAAAATCATTTACCCATGATGATCAGTAAATCTCATAGTGAGGGAAGTTGAAAATCCACATTTGGATATTGAGCTGAAAAGGAGTTTCACATGGAGTATGGTCCCTCTCACAGCTAGAGAGCTCGCCCAGTGTGACGGCATGTCCTTGTGGCAATCAATCATTCCACTTCTGCAGCCAGGTAGTTTTCAACTCTGTGGTGGTTCTCGAAGGGGACGGAGAGATGACTTTCTGAAGAAACTTTTTGGACTTCCTTCAGAAACTGATATCGTCTCCATAGAGTCTTGCTTAGTAGATCAAACTATGGCACAAGGCCAATAACGGTTGTGGTAAAGAAATTATACCCCTTGGTATCAACACCCTCAGGAGGTACTAAAAGTTAAGCATCAAACTAAACTAAATGCAATTAGCTCGATTATATATTCTCAACATGGCATAAGCAGGCATTTAAACTTGTAGCATAAGAAGCAATTACGAGCAATCTTACAT